AAGCCACTGTGCAGTCAAGACTGTGAAGATCTAGAGAAGAATGCAGTCGAGAAGAAGCAGAACAGCAGCCTCAACGTCTACCAAATCGTTCGAGTGGTTATACGTTTATCACCGGTTTGGGCATTGCTATTGCCCTTTGCAGTAATCTTCCAACAGCCATCAACTTTCTTCACCAAACAAGGCATGACAATGAAGAGACACATTGGATCCAATTTCAAGATCCCACCAGCAGCCCTTCAGAGTGCCATAACGGTCTCTATACTCCTTCTCATGCCTATTTATGACAAATGCTTCATCCCGTTGGTTCGGGTGTTCACTCAAAACGAGAGAGGTGTCACAGTTAGGCAAAGAATGGGCATAGGAATGTTCTTATCAGTAATAGCAATGGTGATTGCGGCTTTCACTGAATGTAAAAGGCTTGAAATCAGCAGGAATAATAATCATAATGACGAAAAGATAGTTCACATGATGAGCATTTTTTGGCTGCTTCCTCAGTACATTCTCTTGGGAATTTCAGACATATTCACTGTTGTTGGGATGCAAGAGTTTTTCTATTCTGAGGTTCCTCAGAAGATGAGGACTTTAGGATTAGCTCTGTACACTAGCGTGTTCGGTTTCGGAAGCTTCTTCGGTTCCTTACTCATTACCATGCTTGAACATTTCACAAACTCGGGCGGGAACCAGCACGGTTGGTTCTCCGATGATATGAAGGAAGCTCGTTTGGATAACTATTACTGGTTTCTAGCTGGATTGAGCTCTTTGAGCTTGACTGTGTTTGTGATCTTCTGTAAGTTTGACCGTGTCAGTAATTTTGAGTAATTTCCAGCCTGACTTATCTGTAAGAATTTTTAACTAATTAACTAAAGAAGTGATTTGTAAAGAAGTGTTTTTTAACCTACCAATGTAACATACCAAGTGATTTGTAACATACCAGAAATTACACAGCCTGCATTTCTTACAATGAGATTCTATATCAGCAAATACCAATGCAACTCATATTGACCTGCTTTAGTTTTTCTTCCAACTCAGAGATTATCATCCTGCAGGCCACTTTGGACATAAAAGTAAAAAAATGTTACCCAGAAATGAAATAAGTTGGTTCTTCCCACAAGCATTGACTTGGAGTAATAAAATAGCGTGTTGGCAAAAATCCAATGCTTGTTAATGCATTAGTCTCAATCTATTCATTAGAACTATAATACAAGAAAGCTAAGGCGTCATTTTTTACTATTTACATCAGGATAGCCTAGCAAGACTTATCAAGTCATTACTCAGTTACTTGCTTATTAAAAAGTAAATAAGTAATTGGATTTATTTCAGGTGAACTAAACACGACCTATATCATCAATGTAATAATCTATCTTCTAACAAAAAAGCTATTGGCAAGATGACATAGAGGTACAAATCATCTTAAGTACTACTTGCAATTGCTTCTGCATTAAAAAAATCACTTTTTAAAGTGGATTTAGAAAAATGTTTAATAGTAAAAGTTGATAGTGTTTGAGAAAAAATTAATTTTGAAAATTAAAAGTTAGTAGTGTTTGGTAAATATGTGTTTTTTGTGCAATAGAAGAGGTAAAAAAACAAATTTTGTCATTTGTAAACACTCTTTTCCAACTTTTTAAACCAAAAGCCCAAAATCACATTTTTTATTCTTTTCCAAACATACCTTCCTCTCTCCGTATCATGCCACTCACATACTAGTTCCATGGTCCCACTCCTTGACAACTATTGGTGCAAAACTATATTATTACTCTAATAAAGTAATCCATCGATTTGTAATTCTTATTATTTCTCTTTTTAAAACGAAAACAATGTAACTAGTAATCATGATGTCTAAAAATGTATAGAATATTTATCCACCCCTTACAAAATCAGTTATTCCTTATTGTATACAAACTTAATTATTGTATAAAGATGTTTTGCTATCAAAATTACTTTTATAAAACTGTAAACATATAATTTTGTGAAATACATTAATCAAAATGATTGATTAAGAGGCCATCTGGTGCACTCATATAGGAAAAGGTACAAATATACCTCTCTATTATGGGTGTGAGAACAAATATACACATGTTCTATTTTTTGGAACAAATATACCCATGAAGTATGTGTGAAAGTGCATATATACCCTGAACTTTTTAAAGGTACAAAAATACCCCTCATGTTCTTATAAAGGAGCAAATTGACCCTTATTGACTTTAAATTGATAAAATAAATTTCAAAAAACACCAAAAATAAATTATAAATTAGAAATTAAAAAATATTTTTTTAAAAAAATGTACTTGTTTTCAAATCTCTTTTTTTTGTTTTTACATCACAATTTAATATTGATAGTATGAAATATTATTTTAAAACTTTACTATATATTTTAGATTCTTTCAAAAAAGTATTAACATATGTGTTGCAATGTAAAAAATACTTAGGTTAATAACTTCCTGCATTCTTTGCACTATAAAATTACATATTTTGTATGATGATAAATAGTTCTAGATTACAAAATAGTGAATTTAATTTTATTAAGGGTAAACAAAACCAAAGAATTTTATTTCAAATGTTGAAATTTAAAATTAAAGATTTAATATTTTAACATAATAATAAATATTAATTTTTAAAATTTTGAATTTATCATTTATTTTTTGATGTTTTTGAAATTTAATTTCTCTATTTAAAGTCAACAAAGGTAAATTTACTCTTTTATAAGAATATGATGAGTATTTTTGCACTTTTTAAAAGTTGAGAGATATATATGCATTTCAATAAAATATGCACTTTCGAGGGTATTTGTGCAGAAAAAGTATATTTGTTCTCACATCTATAATAAAATGATATTGATGGACTATTAACCCCTAGAGAGAAGTGAGAGCTAGAGAGAGAAGTGCAAAAATTTCTTGCAATAAATGATTTGTGAACCCCCTACAACTACCCCCAAGAGGAGTATTTATAGAGGAAATTAGGGCTGGGCTCCCAAGTCTTGGGTTTGGGAGGCCCATTTACAATTGGGCCACTATTGAGCTGAGTACAAGATGCGTAGAAATAACTAAGTACGAAATTCGGTTCTGGGAGCCCTTTGTGGCCGACGCGGCCATGGCCGACGGAGCCCCGGTCGACGAGGACACCCGGTTCTCCTGGCTTCCGGACCATGTTCTAGAGTTGATATCATTCTGGCCGATGGGGGGCCATCTGGCCGACGGAGGCCCACTGGGTGACAGTTGTGCCTCTCATTCTTCTGAGTGTGTGGGTCCTGGGGTCCAGGCCCATATACTCTATCAGGAGTCCCCCACTCTCTGAGCTGAGATGTAGACGAAGTGAGGGAGAGTAGATTCCATGGTTTTGACATTTTCTGGCCGTTGTGGGACCGCTATGGGTTTTTCCCTGTTTTGGCCGTTATGGGCGTCCTTTGCTCTGGTTCCTTGTTTTTTGGCCGTTATGGGCGCTCTTTGTTCCTTGTTTTTGGCCGTTATGGGCGCTCTTCATTATGGCCGTTGTATGGCCTTCACTCACTGTGGACGAAGAGGGCTGATGTTCCTTTGAGGGGGTAAGTTCGCTTGAGGACGATGAGTGCCCTGGCTCAGTGGCCGATGTGAGCTCCTGGTATGATGTGGGTGATGTTTCTTCATTCTGGTCACTGGCAGTTGCTTTTGGTGTCTTGGCCGAGGAGGCCAAATGATCGCTTTTGGGCCACAAGCCAAAGCGGTGGCATACATAGTTTTAGTGCCCATTTTGCGGATGATAGCTTTACCGATCTGGAAGGAGTAGTGCGTATCCTGATTCCATGGACGATGGTGACCTGAGGACGTTGGGTTCCTGTTTTATTTTTCTGTCCGATAGTGGAGTATGTGATCTCAAATTCGTTGAGTGGCGCGCATTTAGGGACGATACGCGTCACATCTTGGGAGGAGTTTCTTTGTCTGCTGTCTTCGTTGTGGCCGAAGGTGCCCCACGAGTCATGGACGTTATGGTGCACATATGTCCTAATGTTGTGTTGTGGACTTCGTGAATTTTTGGATTTTTTGCTTTTGTCCTTTCCTGTATCCCAGAGGCCGGTGTAGTCCCCCAGTCCCCCATTGCTTCAGGCCGAAGAGGGAGCGAGGGGTGAAGGAGTAAGGTGTAACCCTAGTGTAACACCCCTAAATTTCCCGCCCAAAAGCAATGATATATTTAAAAGAAATACTTTAATCATTCATCAAAGACTTAAAGAAATACAGCGGAAGTCTAAAATAGGGAAATGGGTATTACCGCCACATTCGGTCATCTCTTAACCGAATGCACAGGCAACTCAAAGTAAAACAACAAAAACTAATGTAATAATAAGTAAATGTTTGTTTCATGACTAGATTTAACTAAGGAATCTTCTAATTCGCACTCAAGCTCGAGCAATCCATCAATCCACATAGGTATCCAACTCATCACCTGATAAAATTTAAGAGAGAAGAGAGAGACAAGAAAAATAACAAAAATTAGCTTTAGAGCTAAGTAAGTACTACCCAACCCCGTAAAATAATCAGGTTTGACAAAAATAGATTTTTATATATTATCATATAAAAATGACGCACTCCACCAAAAATACTTTTCTCCTTGATTTTTCTTAAAGTCGCTTCTTTGCTAAAATCTTAAACTTTTCTTCGAAAATCTCTTAGGGGGGTGTCCCCAACACGGATTTTAAATGATTTTAAAGGATTGTAGATTCCATGGATTTTAATGCAATTCTACGGATTCCATGAGATTGATATGGAATTCTATGGAATTCTATGGAATTCTATTTCATGGAATTATATGGATTTTAATGGATTTTAATAGATTTGAAATACAAGCCGGTGCAAATCCCTACCCTAATTCCCAGCTCCCACACCTGCTCAACCGCCGCAAACCGCCGTTGGAAAAGTCGTCAGAATATTTTGATAAAAAAATTATTCGTTCTTTTTTTTAAAAAAAATCATTGGGAAATGTTAATGATAAATTGGCTTCAATCTAATCATATTTAAGGAAAAACGTCAAATTGAAATATAACAAACTACGTAATTGATATTTAATCCATAATCAAAGCACAATCTTAAACAATTATGAACCGTACTAAAGTAACAAAAGGAATACATTCAATCTATGTAATCTTCATTGATGACATCCGTCCACATTTGTTGTGCAATACCGTTTCTCCATTGATTTGCATATTGCCTTTGTTCATCCTGCGTTTGGAGAATTCATTCCACTAGCAACCTTCGTCTGAAATTCAGAACGAGACTCGCTACTTTTTGGCTTAGAGCTCCCTTCACATTGATCTCTTGTTCGCTTTTTAGAACCACTACTTCTTGAGGGAGTTGGACTCCTATTTGCACATGTAGGAGGCACAGTTAAATCGTGTATTGGATCTTGTTGGGTTGGGACGTACGTGTTTTGAGACTCATCATACACATAGTCTTCTATTGAAGTTTGAGTGTTCTCTTCAACATCATATGTCCTAGCATCAGACTCCTCACCTAAGCCAACTGAATTTTTTCCTGTAGCTGTTACATTCCCAACTACTATTTGTAAATCTTCATAATCGTGAATGGTATCCGTCCGGAGACTCTTATGAGCACCATGAGACTACAAAAGACAAGATTATATATATATATATATATATATATATATATATATATATATATATATATATATATATATATATATATATATATATATATATATATATATATATATAATGGAGTAAGTTAATTTTGGATTAGTATAATTAAATATTAGTTATTTAAGTAGTTGTAGGATTATATGATATACCTCTAAGTAGTTTTTCCACACTTCATCACTAGCCGTAAATTTTTTTGTAATTGGGTCCCACCCAAACCCCGAACTGAACTTCATCAGATCAGCATATTTTTGATATCTTTGCTTGAAGTACCTCCACCGACTTTGATACTCCTTGTATGTCTTTTGACATCCAAGCTTTTCATTCAGCACCGGGAGTATTTTAGATTCAACAGTTTGTTTAGTAATCAATCCACTACAATCACGCCATCCACGTTGAGCAGCCTCAACCAAAAGATCAAGTAATAAAGAACTTTCTTCTGTACTCCACGCATTATACACAGCTTTTTCCTTTCCTTGCAAATCACCCATTGTAGAACTACCAAAGAAGTTATAGTTATTAAACATAGGAAATATGTTTTAATAATTGCAAAACCCAAATAGCCAGCCAACAAAGTGGAACAATGACAACGCTTGATCCTTTTTTTTTGAAAATTGGGTTTGAGCTTAAAACGATTTCATTTTTTAGATATTTAGAAGTTAAATTTTAAATAGGATATGGTTTCTAATTTACTGATAAGAATTATGATTTTGTACATTCGTAAAACTAGTGTTAGTATATACTACATATATGATTCCAATAAGCATACAGCCCACTAATTGTTTGTTCTTTTCACAATTTATTTATGAATGCCATGTAGTTATCTATATATGTTCCTTTATAAAAAAAGCAGGAAGAACAATAAAGTTAAAAAGAAGAATGATGTTTCAAAGCTCACAACACATGAGTTTCAAAACCGTTGATGCAAAAGAAAAAACTCGTCAAAATAAGAGCAGAACCCATCAAAATATTCAATAGAGGGATCACAAAATAGTTAACCCCTACAGAACTAAACACCAAACAGTAAAGCCAGGGATATTTAAAAAACATAAGCACTTGCACTTGTCTTAGAGCTCCTGAACTCCTTTTCTGTTAACACAACCAAACTAACCACCTAGTAGAATTTGGGATAAGGGAATTTCAGTGGGGGACCATCACTCGTAAAGTCACATTAAACAAGACCCATCAATGATTGATTGTAGCCACTATGCAATCATCGGGAATTGAAAATTGTTTTCTAATAAAAAAACATTGGACCCACTGGAGTAATAAAGCACTTCAATGAGTAAAAAAACTTCAAAACGCACAAGGCTACAAACCAAGAAATAAAAACTTCTCTAACCTGCAAAAACTCTGGGCTGGAAGATGGAAGAAGCTTCAGTAGAACTGATGCAGGAGGGAAGCTTGACAGAGGCGCTGGGTTGGAAGATGACAGAGGCTTCGATCGACCTGGCCAAGGGATTGAAACGTGTGCGGCTGTATTTTTTAAATAATGGATTTGAAATCAAAGGGTTGGTAGGGAGATTGTTGATGGATTGGGTTATTCAATTTTTTAGCTTAAAAGTCCATCAAAATCTATCAAAGTCCATTACAATAATCCATAAGTAAAATCCATGGACTGTTTAAGGATACCCGGATTTTAATAGACTCTACGAAAATCTAAGTTGAGGACACCTGGATTTGGATGGAATTTTAAACTCCATTAAAATCTTTTAAAATCCAAGTTGGGGACACCCCCCTTAGTATCTCTTCTCGTTAAACTTCTTAAGAAAATAACTTCTTCTCTAACTTCCTAGTAATTTAGAAGGGCGGTGCTCAACCTTTCGGCTGAGCCCGGTGGACCGTGGTTACGAACGGCCACCCCGAACAAATGCCGGTACCACAACTGCTCTTGCGGAAACGAAACGACTACCTTAAGTGTGCACACCCCCTAAAAGGGATTCCAAGCCCTCCGAGTAGTAAGTCATCCCGAGTGGTCGGAACCCAACCACCCCAATTCTAAAATGCTTGAATGATTAGGGACTACTACTATAACTTCTTTTAAAAGGGATCATAGATCCAAATCTTACTTAAAAGGGATCATAGATCCAAATCTTACTTAAAAGGGATCATAGATCCAAATCTTACTTAAAAGGGATCATAGATCCAAATCTTACTTAAAAGGGATCATAGATCCAAATCTTACTTAAAATGGATCATAGATCCAAATCTTGCTTGAAACTTAAACTGTACTTAGTAGTAGTAGCTCTAATCACCCTCCACGTTTATCCGGATGTGGAAAAACCGACACCTCGGATTACTCCCGAGATGCTCACTTCTTATGAAAATGTAAATTTTATCTTCGCTTAATAATACTTCAAAAATACTTCTTAATTTCTCTAAAAAGTCTCGAAGGTATTTAAAAATATTTAATACCCCAAAAGTTCTTGATTTATACTTCTTAACTACCATATATATAATATCTCCTCAAAATCACATACACAAAATTCACAATTCACACTTAATCACATAATGCATATAATAAGCATATAATACGAGGAAACAATTTTGGATTGGCAGAGAAACTTACCTTAAGTCCTGATGCTCCTAGTTATCCTCCTCTAATCCGGTCTCTAGATAATCACTTTATTAATATGATAAAATTAGTCACTTATTCTATTGGTAATTACTTTACCCGATTTTCTCCTTTTATTTTATTATTCGAATTTATTAACTTAATTTATTAGTTATCCGAATTTATTTGATTACTCACTTTCTATTAATAAAATTACCTTATTAATCTCATCCATTAATTTACAATATTTGAAATAAAATGTCCGAATATAATTAACTACAACACCTAATTTTTTATTCAATAATCACCATTAATTTACTCTACTTATAAAATATTATTTAATTACTTTACTTATATTAACCCATTAATTTATGAGTTCAAATACTTTAAATATTTATATGAAGTCCGAATCTCTAATAATCAATCATAAAAATTATTAATTGAATTAGTCCACTAATTACATAATTAAGTTATTTATTAAGTCTACATATAGTCAATTATTTATGCTAGCTAACCCATCCTTGTTTTATTTTCCTTATTTTGTTCCAACATCTTTTTTAGTCCAGAATATTATTTTTCAATCTCAGTGATTTATTTATTTCACCATTAATATTTATTTCCTTATTTAATTACTTAACTAGTTTTATATGGCCTAATTTAAATAAATAGACTAAGAATCGACTTTATAAATTAATAACCGTCTATAACTATAATTTGGGTCTATATTTGACCTAGGTTGTCCAGATATCTATTTTATAATTATTTCCATAATTATTCATTTAATTTCATATATCTATTAACCGGTTCAATTACAATTAAATATACTAAATCTTAATATTTATTAATTATAAATGGTCCATAAGGTCCTGGTTAGTCATATATTTATCCTAGTTTACTCCAATATTTATTTCATAATTATTTTCGTCAATTAGTTAATTATTTTCTAAGTGTATACAAATTGGCCCAATTAAAATTAAATCAATTAAAAATAGCTAAAAATATTATTTTTCAATTCTCGTTGGTCCGAATATGTATAGTTATACTAAGTATTTAATTTATATTTTTCCAGATTTTATTTATTTGATTTACTATTTTATTTTTAATTTTTATTAAAACTGGGCCGAACTGGCCCAATAAACCAACCCGGCCCAAGAGTTCTGACCCAGACAACTGGGTCATCTTCTCCAGGTCGTGATTCCAGCGACTTCACCGGAAACTAGAAAACCCCGACGAGCTATAACTTGACTTACAGATAACGGATTTCGACGATTCAAGTTGCAAAATGATCCTTGCGGCGAGATGAAGCTCCTCCACCCCTATCTACGGCAAAATATCTGCTTTTTATAAAGACCCGCTTCCACAACTTGCAACTCCGGCGAGCGATATCTCTCTCGTTTCACGACCGTTTTCTACGATTCTTTCACCGTTGGATTCGTCTTACGAAGGGGAAGGTTTCTAGAGTGTTTTCAGGGCTTGGTTCTAGCTAAAATGAATTGTCGAAATATATATATATATATATATATATACACGTATATATGTATGTATTGATCCCAGGTTTGAATGAATAAAATCGCAGGTTTGACTTGCTATTTATAGGGAAAGATGAGGGTTTTAGGCTGTGTTAGAGTTGGAGTTAGAGTTTGAGTTAATTTCGTTTGCACCTCTATAAGTATTAGAAGTATATTTAAGTATTACTAATAATACGTACGTAGTTTATATAACTTAGGAGTATATAAATATATGTTATACGTACGTAGGTAGTTTAGTTTAAAACGATAACTTGTTTTTATATATATTATTTGTACGTATGTTGGTTTATTAGAAGTAGTTTTCTATTATATTTTATTTATTATATTATTGTATTTGTGTATTATTATACTTAACTTAAAATAGATATATATATATAAGTTAATTTTATACTAAAACGTTACTTCTATCATCGGACCATTTTTATCTGACTAAAACGTCATAAATTCTGAAATTTTTATCTGATTAGCACGATACCAATGTTGAATTTTTGTCTGACTCAATTAATTATAAAAATGTTATTTTCGTAATATTTTATCTGACTAATAAAAATTATTTTTATTTTTATTTAAATTTTTGAAGTGTCACACCTAGGCCGAAGAGGGATTCTTGTATTCCCCTGAATCTAACCCCTTGGCGATTTCCTGACCAAGATAACCCTGTGGGAGAACCCTTGGACGCAGGTCGATTTCAAGAAGTTATTATCAAGGTTTTATACAAGGCCGATGGTTGTTGAGTTGTTTTTTGCTTTGCTGTTGTGGCCGTTGAAGGGGCCATGTTGCTTGCAGTATGTTAAGCCGATATGGGTACATATTGTGATGTGATCAGCTGTTTGGAAACATTAGACTGCTAGGGCCGTTGTTGCCATGCCATGTGGGGGCAGATATTTGCGCTTGGGGTGGCTGTTGAATGGCTGGCCGTTATGGATGTTGATTACTGGTACATTGGCGATGGACTGGTACTGATGGAAGTGGGCCTGACCCATCTTCTGAACCGGTGGCAGCCCAATAGGCTTTAGGAGTTGTGGCCAACGGGGGATTACCACGTGTAGTGACCGTTGGGGGGGGGGGGGAGGACGTCTATAAATACCCACCTCCAACCGAAGAGACTCCCTATTGCTTTCCGAGATAACGAAGTGATGCCCAATTCTAGAGAGTGAGAGATTGTTCGTGTGTTCTTCAAAACTTCAAACATTCCAAGGTCAGTTCATCACACTTTTCTCCTCCTTTTATAGACTTCGCTTCCCTAGGGCCTTGATCTAGTGTTAGTGGAAAATCACCCTTAGATCTAAAGTAATCCCCTCTAGGCCTTAGTTAGTCGTTATGATGAAACCTTTGGACGATGAGTACTATCCATATGACGATGAGGCATCCGTCAAGTCCCTGGACTACGGAATAGTTGAGGAGTGCTGTGAGGAGATAGAAGAGATGAGCTCCTTCAAGTCAGAGGAGAAAGAGGGTGAGGAGAACCAGGACGAGGAGGCCGCCTCGTCGTCTGAAGGTGAGGACGTAGGGGTTTCCCGCGCCATGGACGGAGCGTCTACTTCAGCCACAATTCCCTGCCCAAAGCCTGTTTCTGTTGTTAAGGGGACCGCCCCGAAGATAAGGCGCCGACTGAAGAAGGGTCCAGGTTTCTCCTACCTGGGCCTCACGAACATCTACCTCATCAAACCGGAGAGTAGCGCCGCTGATTACTTGGTGGCCCAGATGTATGTGGGGCCGTATGGGAGGGTTAGGGTGCCCAGACCGATGGATCATGTGCTTCAACCTCCGGCCGGGTATTTCGGGGTGTACCCGATGAGTTTTGCTAAAGGACTTCGGTTCCCGCTTCATCCATTCATCACGGAGTACCTAGATATGGTGGGTCTTCCTCCGGCCTTGCTGACCCCAAATAGCTATTCACTTATCGTCGGCTTTCTCCTTCGGTATGATGAGCTAGACTTCAGGCCGACAACAGCTCTGTTTATGAATTTGTACCAGATAGGCCGAGGGAGCCACAAGAATTGTGCCTGTTACGCCACCCTCCTGCAGATAAAGAACAGGAGGTCCTTCATCGATCTTCATTCGTCCATTCATGGTTGGAAGAGTAAGTTTGTTTTTGTGTCCTTGGGCGAGGGTGGCATCGAATTTCCCTCCGTCGGCCATAACGGGAGATTTATCCTCCATGACGTGCCGAAGAGTAGCATTTTAGATGCCCAGGTGACGACATTCTTGAAGGGAGCGTCGAGGAGTGTGAAGGACTATATCACGGAGTATAAAATGACCTCCATCGGCTTTATGAGGTACTTTGTGTACGGGGATAAGGAG